AATGTTCTGTATTTGGGCTAACATTCTCATCTATAAGTTTTCAATATGCAGTTATCATATCGACCGTATTTTGTTTAGAACTTCTCCTTTCAATATATTGCTTACAATTGTTTATTTACAGTTAATCTTTTTTAATTATTTCGCTACAAGTTTGACTGCAGTGCCAGCTCTATGCTTGTTCACACTCCAAATCGCACTCCAAGTCGATCGAGGAAAACAAGCTAGAACCACGGGCGGTACGTTTCTTGGATAATAAAAAATAACCTAAAATAGGTGAGGGACGGTATACACGCAGGCGCTCGGTACGTTTCTTAGATAATAAAAAAACGACCTAAAAAGGTCGCCGACTGACTAAAAATACCGCCCCTACTTTAGGTCCTTTTTATCATCCAAGAAACATTCCGAGCGCCTGTAGCTAGAACATGCCAAGTACACACAATACACGTTAACTCCAATAATGTAAATTGTTTGGATTCGTTTTAATATAGCAAGGTGTGATATATGCATGAACAACTAATTTGACAGATCGTGACACTTATAATTAAGCAAGTTGTTTTCAATAAAATTTTCTCAACTACATTAATTAATACTGACATATTATTAATACAGACTGACATATTTTAAGTTGAGTTGTGAAGTTAAAACTTGAACAGGGATTGCAGGGTTTGACCCTGACAGAAACCCTCATGTAGCCTTACTTTGCCAACTACTTTGCCGTATTTTGCTACTACTTTGCCATACGTTGCCACTACTTTGCCGTACGTTGCCACTACTTTGCCGTACTTTGCCACTGCTTTGCCGTCCTTTGCCACGACTTTGCAGTACTTTGCCACTACTTTGCCGTACTTTGCCACTACTTTTCCGCCCTTTGTCACTGGTTAGCTGTACTTTGCCACTACTTTGACGTACTTTGCCACAACTTTGCCGTACTTTGCCACTACTTTGCCGCCCTTTGTCACTGGTTAGCTGTACTTTGCCACTACTTTGCCGTACTTTGCCACAACTTTGCCGTACTTTTCAGTACTTTGCCACTACTTTGCCGTACTTTGCCACTACTTTGCCGCCCTTTGTCACTGGTTAGCTGTACTTTGCCACTACTTTGCCGTACTTTGCCACAGCTTTGCCGTACTTATCAGTACTTTGCCACTACTTTGCGTACTTTGCCACTACTTTGCGTACTTTGACACTATTTTGCCGTACTTTGCCACTACTTTGCCGTACTTTGCCACTATTTTGCCGTACTGTGCACACTACTTTGCCGTCCTTTGCCACTACTTTGCCGTCCATTGTCACTGGTTAGCTGTACTTTGCCACTACTTTGACGTACTTTGCCACAACTTTGCCGCCCTTTGTCACTGGTTAGCTGTACTTTGCCACTACTTTGCCGTACTTTGCCACAACTTTGCCG